CCCCCATTGGAAACCCCAACCCTTGGGGTCAGGGACACAGCACAGGGGCCCAGGGTAGGTCCCAACTCTCCACTGTGGGGAGCCATGACTCTGCCCCCCACATCCCGACTCACCATACACTCGGGTGACAGCGAGGCACGTGGTGATCACCACCACCATGAGCCCAAAGCTGGCACTGTAGTCATCCAAGAGAACCAGCCAGTACATGCCCCCCTGGAATACAAGTCACAACTCTGGGGTTCCCTTGCCCAAGCCTCATTCCCTGCCACTGCTCCTTCTCCACGTAGGAAGTGAGCTGGAAGCAGCCAGGCTGGGGGCGGGGAGAAAGATGATGGAGTCTTTCCTTCAAATCACCTGTTCTCATCTCAGGGAACCCTGGAGGCAGACTCCCTATTTGATTGATCAAGGGGTGAGGTCTCCATCCTGGCAAGGACAGACTCGGATTGTCAAGCAGGGACTCTGGGTACAGGCAAGGCTGTTCCTTGGGGGAGACAGTCTGGGTGACCAGTTTCTTCCCAAAGAGGAAGAAGCAGGTAGCTTTGGGGGTGCTCTGCCTGGCCATGGACCCTGGGCTTCCCAGCCCCACCCACCTGCCCCGCAGCGCCACTCACGTCTGTGGTGAGGACCAGCCCCATCAGGTACATGGATACGCAGATGAGCCCCGAGAACACGGCCTTCTTGGGCCTCAGGTAGTATGGGAACTCGTCTGTCACAGCTGTGACAATGGTCTCCAGAAAGGCAAACTGAAGGGGATGCGGAGGGGGTCTGTGTTTTGTCCCTCCCTCCCCCAACACACACAGACACACAGACATATCACGGACAGATGCACAAGGACACAGAGCATATTTACACACACACACACGTCACACAGATAGACACACCCGTCACACGTACAGCCACGCACACAGATACAGACACACATCACTCACCCCGCCCACCTATCACAGAGACACATACCACACAGAAGCAGTCACAGTCACACTTCTCACACACCGACACACCACACACAAGGTGTCCACTGGCAGAACAAGGCCCACCTGGCTGTCCAGGCCCAGGGTCAGCAGCATGAAGAAGAAGAGGAAGGACCAGAAAGGCGCCAGAGGCAGCATGGTCATGGCCTGTGGGTAGACGACAAAGGCCAGGCCGGGGCCTGGGCCGCCAGCACTCGGGTCAGTCTCGGGGGTGCGGCAGGCCCCCACATACCCACGCAAATGTGCATGGCTGCTTGCACCAGCTGGCACACACTCGCTTAGCCAAACCCAGAGAGGTGCACAAAGTACGTGCTGCAGACACGTTGTTAATTCCCGTGACACAGGCAAGCTCATTGTGGGTCCTCCACGGATATAAGTTGATAAAATAAATGAATTAAGAACAAGTACATGAATAAACACCAGCCCCGAACAGAAAACCTCATTTGAATACACATATGTTCACAATCACGGCACAAACAACCCCATGAACACACACACTTAGAAACATCATTGGCACAAGGCAGATTCACAAGAGCATTTGCGCCTTGGATTCAAGTGCACACAGACCTCCTGACACACAGGACATGACTCACTGGACAAGCGAAGCAAGTTACTGAGTTGAAACATAAGACGTCTTGGACAGAAATCGCTGCTGTCCGACCCTTCCCTCGGCACTTGGTCTCCCTTGCACACACGTGACGTGTCCCTCTACAAACCGCTGGGCCGACCCTTCCCTCGGTCTCCCTTGCACACATGTGACGTGTCCCTCTGCAAACCGCTGGGCCGCATGCACCGGCGCCTGCCAGACTCAGCAAGGCACCCTGCACACCTGCTTTGGCGACTTGATCCACAGGCACACCCAGCTCCTGAGACATGTAACCCAGGACCGAGAAGATGGCGAAGCCAGCCAGGATGCTGGTGATGGCGTTGCCCAGAGTGACGATGAAGGTGTCTCTGCGGAGGCCAGACACAGGCCAGGGTGAGCAGGTCCTCCAACACAGAGAGCCTCCCCGCCAGCCTCTACCCTCCTCCCAGCCCCTTCCTTCCCCAGACATTCTCCTCTCTCCACTCACTCCCCTCCCCCAAACACCCCCGCCCCCAAACTCCTCTCTCTAGCCACTCCCCTCCCAGGGTCTGAGAGGTTGCACTTACCTGTAGATGTTCTGATGAAATGTGTTGTAGGAGGCAAAAGTAAGGAGTCCCCCGAAGCCCACACCTAGGGAGTAAAAGATCTGCAGGGCAGCTTCGATCCACACCTGTGATGGGGAAGGACAGACATGGAGACCGCCAGTGTGTCAGGTCCAGGGGTGGTGCCGTCAAGAGCCTGGCTCACAAGTGCCAACCCGCTCCCACTCACACTTCAGGACCTGGGCAAGTCCCTCCCTTCTTTGAGCCTCAGCTTCCCCAGCCAGGATCCAGATGACCTCTAAGCTTGGTCCAGTTCTGAAGGAAGCACTGGCTCGTGTCAGTTTTCCATAGACTCATACTGACAGTAAGCCCATGGCCCGCCTTTCCTCCCTATCTGAATTGGGGTGTATTTGGATTCCAGCCCCACCATGTACTTGTACTCGCTTTTTGGGGCGAGAGGTCCCTTATCTGCAATGAGGGGAGGCGGACAGCAGCTACCTGCCAGTGGTGAGGATGAAACAGCTGAGCAGGGTGGGCACAACCCCTCAGCACAGAGCTCACTGTCACCACCATAACTACCGACACCCTCCCCCACACAGGAGACAGGTAGATGCCGGCTGGCCCACCCCGAGGGCACCCACTGATTCTCTGAGGCCTCAGTTTCTTCATCTGTGAAATGGAAGAATAATGTCTTCCTCACATATTGTCAAGAATAAGTAAAAACCAGTGTCTGGAACTTGGGACTCTGGGTGGAGGATTCCTTCAGGCCAGACTCCTCCCTCAGCACCCGCCCAGGGCCTCACCTTGGAAGACAGCAGGTGGTGGAACTGAGGTGTGAGATAGAACTGGATGCCCTTCCAGGCCCCCGGGAGGGTGACTCCTCGGACCAGCAGCATGAGCAGGATGAGGTAGGGGAAGGTGGCCGTGAAGTACACCACCTGGGATGGCAAGGCGGGCAGAGGCTGCTTTCCCCCCAGCTCCTCTTCCGGTTCCCCATCTTATTAACCCCCCCAACTTTGGAGTCCAGGACAGGAACAGCTATTATCCATAATGCTCATTCCACACACACTGCCCTCCCCTGCTCCTGACCTCGCCCCTTACCAAAGCTCTATCACTGCTTCTGAGACCATCCCAAGCCCAAGCTCTCTCCAGTATGGGCTGCCAGATCCTTGCCTGAATTGGGGCCCTCCCGTAAGTCTACTCTCCCTCCCAACCCCCCACCGCTGCACCCCACCCCAACCCATGGTCATAAGACACTTGATTTCCCAAATTCCCTCTGCCCTATCGTCATGTTCCCCAGCCTCTAGCCACTCCCTCTGCTCTCTCAAGTCTCAGTCACCCTCTGACTTCCCTCCCCAGACTTGCTCTCCTTACTTTCCAGCTTCTTTCACCTTGTCTTTCTAGTCTTTCTCTGAATGATTCTGTTCCCTGCAGACACTTCTCACAACTTTGCAGAAGGACAAATCCTAATTTATAAATGATTGCACAATTAGAAGGACTCAGGAAGTTTCCGAATCCTTCTAAAACCGTTTATGGCCCTTTCTGCACTTTACAACCTTCAATGGACATGTGTGATTCTCTTTCCAGCATCTCACTGGCTTTCTTCAGATAACAGCACCCCTGCTTTTCCTAGCTGGGGCTGACTCCCTCCCCAGCTGCAGCGTTGGGGCCCACACTTAGCCAGGCAGCTCATGCCATCCTCCTGGCCCCTGGGTTTGGGAGTGGGACCCTATCCAGCTCACCCAGTGAAGCCCAATTCTAGGATTTTGCAAACCAGGCAAAGGGGGAACCCTTCACTAGCAGGAAAGAGGTCAGCAGTAATGCTAGGGGCCACCTCATGAAAAGTGAGGCCTGAGACGGACCCACTCTGAGGAAAGCACTGCTGAATATCCCTCCTCCTCCCGTTCTCACTGGCCAGCTTGCACCCAGGTGGCTGGCCTCTGCAGGCCCCACCACCCAGACTGCCTGCCTGTCTGCTCGCTTCCACTTGGTTTTGGTTAATGGGATGCAACTACAGAACCACATGCTGCCATCATTTGAGACCCTAGACCCAGCCGTGCCTGCAGCCCAACCTTGAGATTTTTCCAACTGAGTGTGATGACTGAGCTCTGGTCACACTTGCATCTGGAAAAGCCCTGACCTGTGTGTTCACCCTCTAGGAATTCCACAGACACTCACTGAGCCCCTTCAGAGTGGCAGGTGCTGGCCAAGTGTTTACTCTTGAAGCCTGTGAGGCAGCCACGCCAAGCCAATCTTGCTTCCCTGTCCGTCCTCAGTCGGTGCTTCCCACCAATCTCCAACTGAGATTTACCCAGCTGAGGTAGATCTTTCCAAGTGAGGTCTACCCATCCTCTCAGACTCGGCCACACATTACCTCCTTCAGGAAGTCCTCTCCCGACCCCCCACCTCAGGCCTCCAGGGCCTCCCAGCTTCACCTTGCCGGAAGACTTCACCCCCTTGAGGATACAGAGGAACACGATGACCCAGGCCAGCAGCAGGCAGAGGCAGAGGTTCCAGCGAATCTCCCCGGGGCTGCCGATGCCCCGGCTGCCTTGGATGTGGAGGACATAGCGGCTGTGGGAGACAAATGTGGGTGTGACCCTGGACGTCCTGCCGTACTCCAGATGGGGACCCAGGCCGGCCTGCGAGGCTCTTCTGGCTATTCTCCTGTAATATCCCTCCTCCTCCCGTTCTCACTGGCCAGCTTGCACACAGGTGGCTGGCCTCTGCAGGCCCCACCACCCAGACTGCCTGTCTGCTCGCTTCCACTTGGTTTTGGTTAATGGGATGCAACAGCAGGAGACTGGAGGGTGGGAGAGTGGAGGGACAAGCTATTGGCACACACACACACATACACACCCTCCCCAACAACCTCCAACACCGATGCCATCTGGCCATGACAATTCTCGTTGGGCAGCCCTTCCTCAGAGGGCCCTAAAGTCTCCCTTGGTTCTAGTCCCTCTTCACTTGGCTGAGGGGAGTGGCACATCCGTCCCTCTTGCTACTCCTTCGTGTCTCCTCTCCCCTGGATTCCCTCACCTCTGTAGAATCCTTGCATAGACTCTCATTATGAATTCCTTTCACTGCTTCCTGCCTGCACCCCAAGGGACACACAGTGTTTCCATGGAGACCCCTGAAAGTGGCCAGTGACCAGAGCAAGTAAAGGGCTTGAGACACCTGGTCTGTGTCACCTGGTCAGTCAAGTCCCAACCCAGGGGTCAGGCTATTCTGGAATGTTCCAGAAGAAGAGGATCAGGAATGTAGGAGTCTTGATGCCAGGGCTGCCTCTGCCACCACCTACTGACAAGTCTCTGGGCTGTGTACTCTCAGCTATGAGCTGGGGCTTTGAGACCCACCGCTTTCTGAGGGCCCCATTCATAGGACAGAGTAGCCGCACGGGGAGAGTACTACCTGAGCTACCTGGCAAAAGTCCCCCAGCGATCTTTTACCCTGCTAAAATCCTAGCTCTCTTAGACTGATCGGAGCCGGGCTTTACTACATTACGAGGCATGGGTCTGGCCTGTGCTAAGTGCTTTGCTTCCTGATTGGTCATGCTCAATAAATATTTATTGAAAGAATGAGAAAATGGATAACATCTTATGAAGTGGGGACGGTCATCACCCTCTTGGGCAGAGGAGCAAGAGGAGGCTCTCAGAGGCTCCCACACTGCAGCAGCGTCCATTGAGTGCTCAGTATCAGCTGGACAGCATGGCTTACATGCCTTCTTTCCTTCTCCACCATCATGAGAGACACTACCTTCCTACCCACTTCATGGATGAAGCTTTAGAAGCTAAATACATCGTTCAAGGTCACAGAGCTGGCCAAGGGAGGGGCAGGAATTAAACACAGAATCCACCTGAGGAGGGCGCTTGAACTTGGCCTTCCAGCTGGGGAGCCCCTTGAGGACGGAGCACACTCCGGCCCTTGCCCCGGCCCCCAGGGTGCTGCTGCCAGGGGGCCTGACCTCCAGTACTCCTCGCTGGGGCTGACGGTGCCGCTCAGGTTGAGGGCCAGGGCCCCGTTGCCATCCTTGGAGCCTCTGTGCTCCCGACAGAGGTCGGTGTTCCACCAGTTGCCGCAGTGCTCCCAGGGAAGGTTGCTGGTGAGGGAGGCGAAGAGGTAGAAGAGGACATAGGCGATGATCATGTTGTAGTAGATGGCCACCAGGCCCACGATGAGCAGCATGGCCGCGCCGGCACCTGGTGGGGAGACGGGCTCCTTGCTGGCCGGCTGCATGGCCACGGGGAAGCCAACCCCTTCCTGGGCTTCATGGCCCTCTCTGCCTGGGGGCAGGGGAGTGCGGGACAACCTCTCTGCCTCCCAGGCCCAGTCCATCTTGGGGACCACTGAGACCTCACCTTTGAAGAGGGGGCTGATCTTCCAGACAGCTAGAGGCCCCAAGCTGGAGAACTGGCCCAAGGAGAGCTCAAGGAAGAACAGGGGTATGCCGCAGATGGCCAGCATGAGGAAGTAGGGGACGAGGAAGGCACCTGCAGCAGAGGCAGAAGTCAGAGAGGTTCTTAGGTGTGCTGGTCCCCTACTCGGGCCCCCACGTGGCAGACACCACCTGTGACGTAAGCGAGTGTTTCTGCTGGATCGGTACTATCTTCTTTGCAACCAGGAGATGCCAGAGGGCCAAGGGGACAGGTGAGGATTTGGCCACCTCTACAGCCCCAGGGACAAGGTCAGGAACCAGGTTCAGAGCAGATATTGTGAATGAATAACTGAGTGAACGAACGAAAGCGTGAATTCCCTGCCGAAGAAAGCCTACGCTCCTCCATGCAGAAATCAACACCAGCAGAACGTGGCTCCCATCTCACCCATTTCTCCCCCTCCTCTGACGCTGTGGCTGTCACCTGTGGCCTCGTGTGCTCAGTATCTCTCTTTTTTTTCTCATCTCAGCCACCAGCTCCCTGAGAGAACTTCCCACCACCATATGGTGCTGGAAGGGGTGCCGTCACGCCAGCCAGCTCCCTGCCCACCTCGCCCAGGCACACGTCCCCAGCCAGGCAGGTTCGAGACCAGCCTTGCAATTCTTCAAATTCAACCAAGGAGGGTGGTGCTGTGTAGGAAGTCATTCTGGCATTCTCTGTAGCTGCCCCGTCACCCCAGTGCAAAGAGACAGCCAGGCTCAGGAAACAATGAGGTCATCGCAGGGAAAGGGGGAAGAGCCAGGAGCGCGGGAGAGGGTGGACAGGGCAGCACAGGGAACTGTGGACGTGATGGCGCTCCAGGCTGCTCAGAGGCCAGCCGAGACCACTCTGCAGTCACATTGGTCTGTCTGTCCCTTACTCCTTCCAGTTCTAGTTGGGTTTCTGTCACTCTGCCAATAGACATTTCCTGGAGTTGGGGGAGAGATGAAAACGTCCAGTGCCCACAGATACAGCTCTAGAGAAGGCGGTTCCCAGTGGAATGTTGGATCTATGACCTTTTGACCTTGAGCAAAGAACTTGGCCTCTTCCCTTCTTCAAGACAAAGGTGCCCACCAGGAGGGCATCACCAGGGGCAAAGGGCAGGGGAAGCAGCAAGGCCTGGCCAACGGGAGGCGCTCAACCCCAGGCACAGTTGAAGAGATTTGGAACAGCAACCTGGCAGAGAAGCAGGGACCTTGGCGGATTTGTTTAAGATGGGAGAGAACTGGTGTTTGCAGTCTGTGTGGAAGGAAGCAGGAGGTGGGGACACAGTGAGAATGACTGATAGAGGAAGGTTCTGGAGGGGGGGCTGTGTGTGGCAAAAGGGAAATACTAAGAGCATATGTTTATGAGGCTGCGGCAGCCCACTGCCCCTCACTAATGGCTCGGGGAGTGCCAGCCTTGGGGAGAACACCATGTGGGCATCCAGGCTGGGATGAAAGACAGGGACTTAGCTGCCCCCCCCCTTCCTGAGGCCCCAGCCCCACCGTGGGTGAATCCCAGGAGATTGATGAAAGTCACACGGTTGGGTGAGCTCCCTGCTCCGGGCCCCCGGCCACTAGACACCACTCTCAACTGGCTCAAGGTCACAGAGGAGACAGGAGAAGGCCGCTAAAATCTTCACTCTACCCCAAGCCTGGGCTTGTGTCCCTGGACACCCCTCCGGCAGGACGGCAAACCCCTACCTCCTCCGTTGGTGTAGGCTCTGTAGGGGAAACGCCAGACGTTCCCCAGGCCCACACAGTAACCGATGCAGGAGAGCAGGAAGTCCAGCTTGCCTGTCCAGTTCCCCCTGTCTGCAGCAAAGTCCACGTCCAGGTCGACATCACCCTGGTCACTTGGGGTCATCAGCAGGTCTGGGGTGATGGGCTGCCAGTGACAGAGAGCCAGGGGTGAGGGAAGGAAGTCAAGGCTAGGTTGAAACCATGACTCCCCCAGATAGGAACGCAGAATTGAACAGGGCATCATGTCATGCAAAGACGCACTGTGGTTCAGGTCACTTGCTGCTCAACCTAGCTGTGATGGTCCCTGCCACAGGGGGCTTAGGCGGCTAACTTGAACGATGCTGACTGGGTATCGAGTGGGTACCATGTGCTCACATCATCCAATTTTGATCTCAAAACAACCCTATCAACTAAGTGTTCTTCCAAGCTTCAATTGAATGAGTGGGGAAACTGAGGCTCCAAGAGGCACCCTGAAGTAAGCAAGACTTTTATATCGTTGGCTAGTGGGGGACCTGAAGGTCCCGTCTTCTGAATCTCCATCGTCAACTACCACAGCTGGAATCTGGCTCCTCTACCCTGAGCACCCCATTCTAAGAGCTCCTTGGACAGCTGGAGCATATTCAAGGGGCAGGTGGCCAGGTGGCAAGATGTTGAGGAAAAGAGGTTACAGGAGGACAAGAGGAAGCAGCAGAGCTTTGGCACAGAGAAGAAAGGACTAGAATTCTGGGACCACGGGCTCCCCAGAGGGAGGGGCTAGATGGAAGCCCAGGGAAGCCTTGAGGACTGTGACTATTAGAGCAAGAAGAAGCTTCTTAAGCAGTGATCTGTCTCACAAAGTCCGAATCCTCCTGTCACTGGGGAGCCCACAGGGACCAGAGAGGCATGCTTTGCGCGGCTCACAGGCCAGCTGTCTTTAAAGCCCCCTTTGAGGCTAGGTTGAAATCATGATGCCCCCAAACAGGAACGTAGAATTGAACAGGGCATCATGCAAAGATGCACTGTGGCTCAGGTCACTGCCGCTTGACCTGGGCTGCTGTGGTCCCTGGGCTTTGGTGGCTCTGAACTTGAATGATGATGACTTGGCATTGAGGAGCGGCTGGTTCCACTGGGCACCCTCCACCTGGGCTGGCGCGAGAGATGGCACCCTCCTCCAGCTGCTGGATATGAGTGAGTGTGTCCAAGGGCTGGCAGGGCGCTGGCCTGCCAGGAAGCCCAGACACACCAGGACGAGTGACTGAAATTCAGATAGCTGTGCTCAGCAAGTGACACGGGGGTGAGTCTGAGGCAGGGAGACAGACCTTCCCTGCTTGCCCCTGAAAATCACACCCAAGGGGCCTCATGTGATCCATACAAGAACTTCCTAGGTGTAGACACCTACTTGGGTTGGGTGACAACCGGTAAAGAAGGAAGACCAGTTATCAAGTGACGGCCATGGGTTTCAGAAGGAGAGAGGAGCTGTGTAGCCAGTGAGGAGTGGTTGTGGGGAATAGAAATTCCACTAGACTAGGGGTCAAGAGACTGCGGTATCTAGTGTCCGGTGAAGGCCGACTCATCATGTGACTTCAGCAAAGGGTCTTTGAGCCTCAGTTTCCCCACCTGGACATTGAGGGGTTTGGAGAGATAAGTGTTTCCCAAACTAGACTGTTCATGCGTGTCATCAGAAAAAAGTCTTGAGTCAAAGAAATCTGAAAAAAGCGGGATGAACACAAAGTACAGGTTTTCTTTGGTGCAGGACTTGTCAGGCCCTTCAATGGCCCCGGCATCGCTATTCCAAATGAGGACTAGAATAGACATTATTTCCCATTTCTAGTTCAGAAAAGGGTTTCGGTGAGCTAGTGTGCTAGGGTTCCTGTGGGAGGCTGGGAGGGGTATAAGTCTAGTAAATTCCTCTTGAGTATTCTTCTTTGGGGCAAGACTCAACAAAAAGACTTCACTGGGGCACTGGTAGTGGCCCCGGACCAGAGCAGATCCCATGCAGGGACTCAGTAAATAGCCACTGACCAGATTTGCTTCTTCCCCTTTCTGGCTGCAACCAAGCAGGTGTTCACACCCAAGTCAGATGGTAACAAAGAAAGTTCGGCAAGGGTTGTCAAAGCAGCATTGTGGGCACAGAGGGTGAACACGACAGGATGAAGTTCAGCTGCACGGCAGGGCTGGGGCAGGCAGCTGGGTGGCAGAACTAAGAGGAACTAAGGGGACAGTGCTGGATTAACTCAGGGACAGTGAGGACCCTGGTGGGGATCCTGCCTGAGGCTGGCAAGGGCCAGAAGGTGATGGTGATGGGGACAGGTTGGCATCATCACCATGGGTGACAGCGATGGTGATGAAAAGCACGCAAAAGCTGCTGTTGCAACGAGCGAGGGCCAAGGGTTGAAAAAAGAATATGCTTGGAAGTCCCTCAACTGTAACCTCAGGCATGCTGGGATGGGGGTGCCGCAGCTCCCAGACCCCTTCTGTCTGATGCTCCTTTCCCCATGGTTCCTTTCCAGCTCAGTGAGCAACAGCTCTCAGAGCCACTCCCAGGTGAGCCCCAGAGTGCTGGGGCGGCAGCCAGTTGACACTGGCCCTTAGTATGGGGCAATGTGATGGGCTGTCACCCTGTGATCCCCAGCCCCATTCAAGCCAGCTGCAGGAGTGTCCAGTAATGAGGTTCCTCTGATCCCTCCCGAGAAGCTGCTGCCCTTTCCCTGCTCGAAGAGCTGTCCGCTCTGTTTCCATGGTGACAAGAGTTCCAAGAGCAGGATGCTGCCAGCTCTTCCGTCCCCCTCCTTCCCCAATCAGAGGGAAGCCTGCTCCTACTCTGGGGGAAGGAGATGGGGTCCTCCAACGCTAAGCCAATCCCAAGCCTGCCTGGAGCCCCTAATCCCATCATGAGGTGAATCCCAGGAGGTTGGCACAGAATCGGGACAGAGGAAAGCAACAAATCAATGGGACAGGGTTGGAGGCTTCAGGAGTCGCTGCACAACTGCGTCTGGGTGTGACTCTTACCCCTGTTCTCTCCAATCCCCAGCCAGTCACACAGGAGACAAACCACAGTTTGCCAGCTCTGTACCCCGCTTTGAGGAACCAGCAGCAGCAGGGACTGGGGAAGGTATGACTGCCCCAGCCAAGGTTCTCAGCTCTTCTTCAGGGTGAGCGAGACAAAAGGGGTCTGGGGTGCAACTCCTTCATTGTGCAGATGAAGAAACTGAGCTTCAGGGAGAGGAAGGGAGGAGCTCAAAGTCCAGCTGCGAATTCCGGGCAGAGCAAGACAAATCCTAGCCCCCAGCTCTCCACCCAAGCTCCTCTGAACAACGTCACTCCTTTGATGCTACCTGGCACTTCGCTCCTTCACCCCTTCTTCGTGAGACCAACGGAGGAAACACTGAGGTCTGGTGGCTGCAGTCCAGGGCTTTGGTTACTACACCTCTTGGGCCTCAGTTTCCTTGTCTTTAAAATGGGAAGACAGGACTCTGGAACTGAGACTTCACAGAAGAGCGCATGTGCATATGTGTGGGCCTGTGGCCGATGGCAGAGGCTCTTGTGGGGAGGGAGAGGAAAGGGGAGAGAGTAGGAGAAAGGACAAGCATGAGGGCAGGCGCCAGAAGACCCAAGAGCTACACAAGTGATCCCAAGAATGCACTCAGGTAAGTGAATAAAAAATACCTATAGTTACAGGGGGGCCCCCAGGGCTGGGCTGCCCAGGGACAGAGAACTTGAATGAGCTTGTGCTGTGGATATGGAGAGACATGGAAGCTGAGGCTTCAGGATAACTGGCTTCTGCCTTAGGTCCCTGTCAGTTTACCACTCTCCCCTCCCCCACCCCAGGACAATGGAGCCCCATTGGTGGCTGGTACTGGAGATGGCAACCCCAAGTCACAGCAAGTGGGTGCAAAGCCAGTACCCAAGAGTTCTGACTCCTTGACTAGAACTGACCAGAAAACTTCCCGCAATCCTCTCCCTCCCTGGCACACAACTTGTCTGGAAGGTCCAATCCCACAGGACAATGTGGGGGGGAGCCTGAGGCCAGGCCCAGGGCCCAGGTCCAATCCAGGCTGGACCACCTCTCCCATGCCAGCTGCTACTCTATGCCCATATTCCTTGGGAACCCATTTCCCTTGCACCACTTTAGCTCTGTTGAGGGGCAGTGTGGGTCTCAGCAGGGAAGCTACAGCTGCAGGGAGAGAAGGCTGGGGGAAGCCAGTGGAGGGGGTCCACAAGGCAGAGACAGGGGCAAGAAGCCTGCGGCCCCTGCTGGCTCTCTGAAGCTGCTCCAGTGTAAGGGGCACGGACCGGGTCCCAGGATGCTCCCCATTCCCCAACCCTAAATTCGTCCAGCTCAAGGCTGGTGCTCAGCTCTTTAACACCTCCATCCTGCAAGCCATCCCTAGGGGAAATGCTCCTGGGGACTTGGGAGGGTGGGTGTCTAGTCCCTGCTACCCCAAACCTGCACTTCCTGGGGCTGCAGACACCTGTTCGCAGGACCCGCTCTGGCCACATTACATTTACAGCGACCCCCTGACCCGAGTGGGGAAGCTGGGGGTTGGGGGTGAGGGGGCTAGAGGCCCCCCCTCCCCTGCAGCCCATGACCCCGCCTCTCCGTGCATCCGGGAAGCGCAGTCTGGTCTCCCCCAGAGCCCTGAGTCGGTTTAAGTGCCCGATCCTATCCCCCCAGGGCCTCGATGAGCGCGGGTCTCTGCGCCCCTCCCAGAGGTGCGCCACCCCGACCAGTTTTCGTGCCCTACCTTTCGGAGGTGAGCTCCCTGGAGCTTCTTCATCTTGGAGGGCGGCTTGCTGGGGCTTTCCCGGCTTGGCTTCCTCTGAGCTCAGAGAACCAGCAAGGGAGCCAGCAGATGGATCTTGCCGCCGGCCTGCCTCCGCGCCTTGGCCGGGGCGGCTCCCGCGCTCTGGCGGGGTGGGGGTGGTCGGGCGCGGGCGCTGCCGTCCGTAGGCTGCGGGCGTGGGGCGCGTGCGGGCGTGGGGCGCCGGCCCAGCGCTGCGAATGCCCTGCCTCTCCCTGCGCAGCGCTGGGGGCTGGGGAGGGGTGCAGGGCTACACCCGCGTAGACAACCAGACAGACGGGCTGCCTGCCGGACGGACGGCGGGGGGGATGCGTGCGCCCCCGCACGTAGGGCTGCCGATTGGAGGGGCTGAGCGCGAGAAGAGGGGGGTCCGCGAGGGAAACCTTGCGGAGATCTGGAGGCCCAGGCCACCGTCTCCTGCGTGACCTTGGGCAAGTAACCTGCCCTCTCTGGGGCTCCCTATTCCCATTTGGGGGATGAGGGAGACCAGCCAAGCCAGGGACACTGACAGCCGGCTTTTGGGTCAAAGTATCCCAGTGCCTCTTCCTCCTAGCTGTGACCTTGCCTTTCGTCTGCGAAATGGGAATAAGAATCTTTTCTGGGCATGGGGGGAATTGGAAGGGGATAGAGCATAGAAAACATTTAGCCCTGGCGTAGGAAAAGGGCTTAGTTGATGTTTATTGACTGGGTCTGCGGATGCCCGCTCCTGCCAAAAGTCAGGTATTCATCCAATCCACGAATTTTATGGAACATGTAAAGAGTCCAGGCTCCTGGAATGGACCAGCACAGTGACCTGGAGAGGCAGCAGCGTTATCTTTCTATTACAGGTGAGGAAACTGAAACCGAGGCTGTTACTCATTCAAGGTCACAGAGCGAGCGAGTGACTCCGTGACAGAGTCGGCCTCATGCACAGGTTAATGGTGGTCCTGGACACTCCTGCTTCCCTTGGGATGAAAGCAAATCAGGCAGGTCTGGGCCAGGAGGAGGCAACGGGCCTGTGTCATTCTGTTACTCAGATCATACGACCTGGGCTCCGGGACACTAGCACTGTGACCTTGGGTGTGTGATTTCACACCTGTAAAATGAGCCACCTGCCCACCAGCCGGCTGAACCATTCAGAGCGTGGCCAGAGTCTGGAGACCCTGTGGCTGGGGCCAGACATCGTGGGCACTAGTCTGTGGGACTGAACCGGAAGCTGCAGTGGGCCTGGACTTTATATCACTCTGCACCTTGCAAACCATGTCCCTTTCACTCTCAAAGTGTCCCAGTAAAAACACTAGATTACACGGTTGTCCTACTACCAACCAACAGTGGAGGCCTTTGGGGACTGAAGGCCAGGGAGAACAAGGCGGCAAGGGAAAAGTGGAAGAGGTGGGCCAGGGCCATGGCTCCTATCTCCCTGGGCCCCACTCAGCTGTTCTTGCCTTAAGGGCAAGCCAGGGATTCTCCAGACCCAAGAGGAAGGAGCACCGGCTGTGAATGTTGAGCAAAGCTTTCATTGACCCTGTGTCTAATTTCTAGTTCTTGCCAAGAGCCTGAGAGCACAGCCTGCTGCGTGCCCACTTTGCACCAGAGGGGACCAGCTCAGAGGGCCCGGGTGCCCAGGGACACACAGAGGCCAAGGTCCCTTCCCCAGAGCCTCTCACCACCATTCACAGGTGGCAGCTTAGCTGAAGCATCTTGTTGTTTGAGTTACACTAGACCCTATGGAAGACACCAGAATCATAGGAGCAGGGAGCCAGGCAAGGCTGACACCCCATATCGCTGGGGTGGGAGGGGGGGAGCTGGCCCCCAGGGGACAGAAGGCAACAGGGCTGGGGCTTTGGCCTTCCTGAGCACGGGCATCACAGGGTGACTGCTGAGCGTCCATGTAGGTCCAGGGGTTATGTGTGCACAGGAGTCCAGGCCAGACCTTTCAGACTGGGAAACTGAGGCCCAGGAGAGGCAGGGTTTGTAGGATTACAAAGTTTCAGTGGCGTAGAGGCAGGGTCAGGCCTAGAATCCAGGCCCCGGTCCTGTCTAGATTGTGCCTCCAATTCATATTCCTCAGCCATCCTTTTCGCCTTCCACAGTCCCTGTTGCTAAATCTGCAAGTTTTGCCAGCCTCTGTTGTAGAAGTCAACCTACCCCCTGAAGACCCAGTTTTATGATCATAGAATTGGCAGTGATTCGGCTACCAAGGGTGTTGGAATTGCTGTTACCAGCGTCCCCCGCCCCCCATTCCAGATGAGGTTTGGGTGCTACTTGGCGAAATACCTGCTTAGGAATCCCAACCAGTAAGACTCACCCTCTCTCCCTTTCCTTCTCCCACCTTTCTTTCCTTTTCTGTTTCTCCTGGCCTCACATCAAACCAGAAATGAAACGGTAGTGCGTGCTGATTATAAGGAAAGTATTTGATGAAAATGTGCTTCCTTTTATTCTACAGAGAGATATTTTTAAATGCATATAAATAAACATTTTTAATTTGCTTAACTGTTCAGACTGTATAGCTGTAGAGCATGTGTTTTGTTATCCAGGGAGTGGCGACTGTGGAAAATGGGAATGCAGACTGCTAGCCCATCTGGTGTGATTCAGGAAAGTAGTTCCAGATCAGCCAGGCTGGAGCAGGATCGCTGTGCAGTCGCCTTGCCCCAGGTCTGCTGTACTCCCGGGTTCTGCATGCCACTGGCTGGGCCTCTCAGGCTGGCTGCTTCCGCCACCACAGTCCTCCTGTGTCCCCTTCATAATCTCTCTCTCACTCACACACACACATTTACGCACACGTGCACGCACACACACACACACACGTCCCACCCCCTGGCATGCTGGAGAAGCACACCCTCCGCAGATCCTGAGTTCCTCCCTAGAGGATCTGACCCTCTCTGCTTGAACCTTACACCAATCTCTTAGCAATCAATGATGGAACTGGCTCCCCCACAAGCTGGGGGTGCTCAGTGTGGTGGCCAAGGGCTCTGACCCTCTGAAGTTGCAAGCCTGTTTCTGATTCCCTAAAGGCCACGCCCAGGCCATGGACTTTTGAGGACCAGGCCAGATCTGAATTTTGTCTGAATTCCTGGTCTCCAGTGCCGGATCTGGAGGGTGTCACAGGGAGGGGCATAACAGCATTAGATGTGAGGCAGAACCAGCCTGGCCATTCCAGATAGGAAGCCGGAATAGTTCTTAGCCATGGGGTGGCTGCAGGGTCTGATAGAACATGTAGGATCTCTTCCCAGGGCCATTATAACACCCAGCTTCTGGAAGAACTCTCTGGATGATGGAGAAGTCACTACTTCAAAGGTAGCTAATGGCAATGTTTGGAAATTGTCAGAGAGAAACTTTTTCATAGAGTTCCAACACCAATTGGTAGGTGACTGCCAACCCTACCTGTGGGCCCCATCCTGTCCCCTCCCATACCTGACTGGTGGGCAGCAGCTACAGCTCACCTGGCCTCCGATCGCTGCAGAGCCGCCCGGTGGCTGGGTCAAGCCTGTCCCATCTCAGGGACACAAGCTGTCCACAATCTGTCCTCAGCACTGGGGATGGGGGTTTAAACATGAGCCAGCCCACGGGCCCCTCGTACCAGGACAACAGTCTCAGGGACAGGAGGCTAAAACGTAGCACCCACTAACTGTGTGCTAGAACTGAGCTAACCACAGTTTGAGGCTATTGTATTTTATTTCCATTTGAGAAATCCGGATACTGAGGCTCAGAGGAGCCAAGTAACCTGCCTGAAGCCTCAGAGGAAGTAGTCAAGTTGGAACCCAGGCATCTGCCAACCAAACCTGCCACTGAACAGTCATAGTTGAAAATGTGGGCCTCGGTCCCTTGGCAGCCCCATATTCTTGAGGACGTGGAGTTCAGTGGGGTGCTGGGAGTGGGTTGCTGAGTTGTGAAGCATGGGAAAGGCTGCTTAAAGACAATTCTAGATGAAATAACATCTGTTATTTTAAAAATAATAATAATAATGCTAGGATGTGCTAATGCCCCACTGTGGTCCTCCCAGGTCTGTAAGACTTCCCAAACATACTTGACCAGCGCCATTTCTGCTTGGTAAACAAGGTCCCTGATTCTACAAGTGGGGAAGCAAAGGCCCAGAAAGGGAAAGCAATTAGCCCAGGGTCACACAGGAAATGTTTCTGAAGATCAGAAAACCATGCCCACTTGTTGCCAGCCTCTCTTCCACTACTTCCTCTTCCCTCTGCTTCTCAAATCCTAACGTTGTCTCCTCTACCACCCGGCCAGTGCCACTGCTCTCTGGGGCTGTGTCAGCTGGGCCCCACCTCACATCATTGGACGGGGCCCAGGAACAAAGGGCAGGAGACTGCACACATATTTCATGGTGAGGCCACTTCCCAGAACAATAAATAAAGGGGTGGGAAGCTGGCACCAGAGTCCTCTAGGGAGAGGTGTTCCCAGGTGGCAGATAGCTGCCCACCTTCAGAAAGGAAGAGTTTTTAAAAATATCTTAAAATTGTACTTTAAGTTCATTTTACTTATATTCTTTCTTACCCTTCTTTCTTCTTGGCCTAGCCAGCATCACTTGTCCTTTGGGTTCAGCTCAAATGCCACCTTCTCCAGGAAGCCTTCTTGGCTTCCCAAGATCCTTGGACTCTTTGTTCCTCAGATGCTCAGGTCCAGATGGGGTCATGTGGGTTCCCTGGGTCTACTCATACTTGGCACATAGGGGAATTCAACGAATGTCTATTGAAAGAAAAACCTAGCCTAGAAATTCTTGAAAAATTCAAAACTGATTATTCACTGACAAAATGGACTTAGAAGTTTACATAACCTTGGGGCCTCCCTGGTGGTATAAGGGGTTAAGTCTCAGCATTATGGAGTTATCCGCAGCCACTGAGGCACAAGTTTGATCCCTGGCCAGGGAGCTGACCCACATGGCACAGCGGACCTCTCTTGTCCTGCCCACTGCCCACTGCTCCCCTCAGCAGTGTGTTCCAGTCGATCCACCTGTTCTGCTCCCCACTCTTCTCTGGTGAATCCTCTCACCCTCTCGCACCTCTGGCATATACCCCAGCTCTTGTATGCATAAATAAGTAAATCTTAAAAAAAGAAAGTTTACATAGTCTCATAGACTTACTCCAACAAGGTTGTTTTGATCTTGTAAAGACATTTTAGAGATGACCGGTTCGGAGCCTACAGAGACTGGGAGGGATGATATAAATGTTAGGGGATGATGATGTCTTTAAAAATTTCCTTTAATGCCATGTGTAGTGATCTTTGCACATTTTTAAAAAGAGAAAAACATTTATTCTTGAAGTTGCCTCCAAGAGTCTACTCTACGGAAAATGTTTGTTCATTGTGAGCTCTGCTTGCTCCAGAGAAAGTCCTCAGGAAGCTCCCTGGGATCTGGTGGCCAGCCTGGTGGGGGTGGTAGCAGGAGTCTGCTCCTTCCCAACTGAGGATTCTGGTGAGGGGCCATGGCTCTGCAGCCCAGAGAGGAACAGTTCTCAGAGCTGCCCTTCGGCCAGTCCTGTGGGCTTTGTGCTCAGTATCCAGCAAGACGTGAAAGTGGGCCCAGAAGCAAGGCTGCAGGAGGCAGGTGCAGGAGGCAGCTGACCATATCCTCCCCAAGCTTGCCCTCTTCCCCAAAGAGAAAAGGGGGGCCTGGGCCTTATCTTGGCTCCTTCCCCTGGCCCCCTGGGGATGGCAACCTCTCACCATTGCACCTATCTCCCTGAGGCCTAGCTCATAGAGCTGGGAAGAGTTCTTATCCAGCAGGAGCCCTGCACAGATGAGCTGACAGGTGCAGGCATTGGGTGTCCAAGGTCACCCAAAAAGTCAGGGGCAGGCAGGGCTGGGTCTCAGACCAGACTCAGGGAGCCGTGTTCCCAGCACCTGAGTGCCCAAGGCCCCCAGGCGGCAGCCCCTGCCGGCTACGCCAGGTACTCTTCCTTGACAGGCAGCGGGGACGATGGCCCCAGGAGGCTGGCGGAACTGGAGCACAGGCCTCCCAGCGGTGGTCCAGTGGGCAGTGGCTGTGGGAGTTGCTGCTGCTGCTGCTGCTGCTGCTGCTTCTTCTTGTTCACTTTACGCTCTTTTGCCCGCCGATTTTGGAACCAGATCTTCACCTGTGGGATGAGAGAATATAAAGGGAATAAGTAAGTAGTAGGGGAAACACAGGACAGGCTAAGAGGGAGAGGGGACAGCGGAGCAGGGATTTCACAATATGGCAGCATGGCCTCCTTCTGGCTAGAGCCACCAGCCCATCCATGAGCCCCGAACACATTTTCCCTCTAGCATTTACTCTCCTATCTTCAAGACAATGTTCTCTGTCAATTTCTTCCCTATTATCTTCTTTTGTTTTGCATTTTAAAAAATGATCTTCCCTGTTATATTTTAAGGCCAGGTTCTAAGCCCCCTCCTCCAGGAAGCCCTCCTGTGACTTCTCCCTCCTCTGGATTTAATCTGCCCTGATCATAGCCTGCTGCAGCTTAGAGCTAACCCCCTTTCCCTCGATTGGGGTTTGGGATATTGGGTCTTACAGAGGGTGTGG